AAACAAACATGGACAATTTTCTGTATTTACTTTTAGCAATTTTCTCTTTATCATATTTTGCAATGTCGATGTTAATTATTGCATATTGGATGATCTTTGTATGTAGTGGAATTTTAAAATTAAGTTAAATGAAATGACTTTTTACTCAAAACTCTCACTGAATCTCATTAGGATACAAGAAGAGGCAGCAGATGTTGCTTTGTCTTCGTTACAAGAAAATAAAAAAAATGCACTTCTCGAAAAATTTTACGGCCTTTTTGTAAAGAAAGATATCACAGATACTTAAAGTGCCTATGCAGCGAAATTTGCCATTCCAATATTTTAAAAGAAATCTATAGAATCCTTCGCCCTTGTTTTTATACAAAAAACAGAATTCCGATAAGTTAAATCGTTAAATGGTTCTTTTTCTATTGAGTGTCAAAGTATGCATATTTTGCAGTTGCATTGCGAAATTTTATTTCCCGCTGTGACGTCACAGTGATGAGTCGAGGCGAAACCATTTAGTCAGGCCTGTTAAATCACTTATTAGGTCGAATTGTGCAAATTGTGATACTAGCATGAAACTTTGCAATAATGAACAGTTTGATACGCTGAAAATATAGGATAGGGACCCGAACTGAAAATTGCCCTTGTTCTATTTTTAGAGTGCATGATATGAATAGGAACTATATCAAATCTTTCTCAGCGTATCAAACTGCCTTTATATTGAGAATTTCCGTTCTCCGTTTATGGCTAATGGTAGAATTAGGGGTCTGAATCAGAGTACCCCAGTCTAAAAATAGAACTTATGGGCAAGATATGATTTGGTTTGATATCCAATCTTTTTCTGCATGTCAAACTGCCTTTATATCAAGAATTTCAAGTTTCTATGACCTGGCGTTCTCAGTTTGTGGCCAGGGGTCTGGACCAGGGTACCCCAGTCTAAAAATATAATTTAGGGGCCTAATATGATTTGGGTTTATTTTACATCTTTTTCGGCTCGTTAAACTGCCTTTATATTGTGAATTTCAACTTTCTATGGCCTGGCGTTCCCCATTTATGACCAAAGGTACAATTAGGGGTCTGGACCGGAGTACTCAAGTCTAAAAATAGATCTTATGGGCAATATATGATTTGGGTGAATATCACATCTTTTTCAGCGTATCAAACTTGGTGTTTTCTGAAATGTTGGTGCTTGTATCACAATTTGCACAATTCTTCTTCATATCTCCCTCACTAAAACCTATTCTGTACAACCGCAATTTCCTGATTGCTGTCGACCCGACTCATCACTGTGACGTCACAAACTGGCCTTGATTTTCGCAAGCACTATCTTTATTCAAACTCTGATTAAACACAGTTTTGCTGGTCAAATTATGACAACTTTGGTGTCAAACATATCAGAAAAGATGGGAAAATATAACTCTTAAAAAAAGCAGGACATAAAATTTCGCTGCATAGACACTTTAAGGAATAAATCAAAATATTTGGGTCATAATAATCAAGTTTGAAGAAACAGTAAAGCTAAACAGGTATGGAACTTGAATAAAAACTAAATTTTGATTTGCACATTTGAAAACTTTGCAAAAAGCTGAAACACTGATAAATATTTTTAAACTACTAAAAAGATTTATTGGTTTCAAAGAAAAAGAACCTTTGTTTCAAAGCTTCGTATACTCAAATTTCAACTACTGCACCTTGGTTTGGTATTTTGCATGAGTTGATTCCATGCAAAGTATTGAGCCCTAAAATGTTTACACCATAGCAAAGTAAATACTAAATTATATCATATCATATCATATCATATCATATCATATCATATCATATCATATCATATCATATCATATCATATCATATCATATCATATCATATCATATCATATCATATCATAGCATATCATATCATATCATATCATATCATATCATATCATATCATATCATATCATATCATATCATATCATATCATATCATATCATATCATATCATATTAATCATATCATATCATATCATATCATATCATATTATATTATACTATATTATATCATATTATATTATACTATATTATATTATATAATATTATATTATACTATATTATATTATATTATATTATATAATATTATATTATAATATATTATATATTTAATTTATATTAATATATACTAATTATATATATTATTAATAATTATACTAATTATATTATATTATACTACTATATTGATATTATGTATAATATATATTAATTAATAGTATATTATTATTTATTATATTTATTATAATATATATTAATATTTGTATTATCTTATATTATATCTATATTATATTATATAATATTATATTAACTATATTAATAACTTATAATTTATATTATATAATATTATATTATATTTTATTTATAATTATACTATATTATATATATTATATATAATATTATATATATAATACTATATTATATTAATTTATATAATATTATTACTAATATTATTTTATAATTATAGCTATAATTATATTATATAATAATATTAGTTATAAACTATATTAATTATTATAAATTATAATTATATCATATATTATATTGTATTATACTATATTATACTATATTATATTATATAATATTATATTAAACTATATTATACTATATTATATTATATAATATTATATTATATTTTATTATATAATATCATATTATATCATATTATATTATATTATACTATATTATACTATATTATATTATATAATATTATATTATATTATATTATAATGTTTACAACATGATTATTTAGGTTCATTTAATGAGTTACTTTCCAAATCAAATTGGTGCACAATGCATGTATCTTGCCCGAAATCCCTCTGTGTGGGAATATTCGAAATGCTAAAAAAGCTAGAATCCCTTTTATGCAGAACATTTGCAAATTAAAGTCATCAACTTACGCGTCAAAATATCCTACCTGGTTACCAAATTAACTTAAAACAGCTGGAATCTTACATGAATTCAGACAAATGTAATTGGCTGGTCATTCTGCAAATGTAATGTATGTGAATAAAAAGGAATATTTTTCCTGCAAAGTAGTAAAATAATGCTATGTTGATCCAGGAAGTTTAGTTTTAATGTTAAACTTTCATGTAGATTAGTTTTCGACCTATACAATAGCTACCTCGCCAGTGCTGAATGTCGCATTTTCAAATTTCTGTATAAAAATGAGTTGATCCTTGACATATACTCAACTAAACAAGAAACGGGTACTCGGCAGCAAAATTTGGGAAGGTTACGGCAGTGTTGAGAGGAACTGGCCACACTTCTTTAAGCTGCTGGTCAAGGAAGTGTGCATTTTGTAGCAAGCACTGACCTTAGGTACGAAATCTATTCGGGTCCTAACACCCTTTCTTTTAACAACACCCTTTCTTTAAACAACACCCTTTCTTTTAACAACCAGTAAATTGATGTTCAGAGTCAGACTGGTTTTCCTTAGGGTTTTCTTAACTAATCAGGGTGCAATCGCTAGCTATGGTGCTGAAGGGGAGTATTCAAGTCATTTGCCAACAAAGTGCACCTTTTAATGGCAAAAAATCCTCGTTTTTGAGAAAAAATGTTTTGAAGGGCGTTACCCAGTTTTCCTCAAAATTATTGTTTTTAAATTTTGACATGTTTTTAGGCTCGTGTTCTTAAAGATTTTTCTTATAATAAAAAGAGTGTACCTGCCAGAGTCCAGAAAAGTTTTCAACCTTCCTCCGGTCAAGAAAATCCTACTATAAAACCTTCCTCATTTTTATTGGGTTCAAAATGTCCGTGTTCCGGAACATGGGATACTCAACTAGTTTTGATTTCCTCTCCTTGCAACTTTTTTTAAAAACATTTTGAAAAATTGTGTCTTGTTTTCAGCTATTGATAGCGGTTGAGACAAATGTAAAATAACAAGCTTCTAACAATTTATAACAGAAGCTTGTCAAAATTTTAAAGATGATATTTATAATCAGTTGAAGCCTAAATTTCACAGTGCAAAGAAGTTCTGGAAACACTTTCATACATAAAACAGGAGGTTTATAAAATTTATTTTGATTTTCTTTTTACTTTTTGTCCCACTGTATTTTGAAAACAAAAAAGCAGAAAGAATTCTTCGACTTCCTCAAGTTTCCAAATTTTTCGTTATTTTCCTGCCACCGCTACAACAAGATATAAGATTGTAAAGGTAAAATTTCCTTGAAAAGATTACCAACCGTAATTAATCTATTTTACGCCTGGGCGTTTATTAAATCCTCTGGTTTTAAGGACACCGCTATTAGAGAGGACGAATATTACAGAAGGATGGCTTTATAAGCAAAAATTGTTTGCAAGATAAACTTATTTTTTCGAATCAATGCACGCCAAAATCGAAAAAAATATAACAGAATCTTAGATAGATGCTATTATGTTCACACACAAAAATGCAGACAAAATGTGGCAAAGCTTTTATTTGCATTCACGAAAGTTGGGAAGGGGCCAACATACACGATGACCAAGCTTTTGGAGTGTATAAAAAGGGTGGTTTGAGAGCGACCTCGAAATGTAGCTTTCGGGTATTTTTTCGTTTTTATATGTTGAATTGCCCAGTGATTTTTGGTGAAAGTCTTGTATTTTGCCGCATTGTTTTGAAAACGACATAAAAACATGGAGTTTCTTTTTTAGCAAAATTTTAAAAACTAGCCACGGGCATTTATTGGAGAATGGATGTTTAATAGATAGAAATGCAGTAAATTGGTCGCATTTAGATTGGTCTTTTGCAATCCCTTTCGGAGATTGGTTGACGTTTTGTTACTTAAATGTGATAATAAACGATACAGATAACGAGATTCCAAGTTTAGTCTTAAAAGTTTAATAAAAACTTGGACAATGCGAACTATTGCATAAATTTGCGCTGTGACAGATGCTGAAAATGTGTAACGAGGACAACTGTTCATCCATATAATTATATGAGTTGATATGCACAACTTCCTGTCTGGCGAGAAAACCCCATCTTCATAAAGAGAATTTTCAAAAGAAAAGAGAAGTTTGCTACTCATGCTGTAAAATCAAACACCCGGTTACCTTAATGATCAAATCATATTAGAATCAAGAAGTAAAAAAATACATTGACAAATGTAAAAAGCCTCTTCAGTTAAAATATTCAGTTCTGTTTAACAGCTAGTCTTATTCATTTCCTTTAACTGTTGGGTTAAAGAGCGTGTATTTTCACAATATATCTTAATCACATGAAAATAAATTATTGGCTTTGTAACGCTGTTTCTTTAATATTACGCCACAATGTACTTTAGATGACCTCGTCTTCATACTGTGTGAAGCCACGGGATCACAAGATGCTAGTTGCAATTGGTGGTAGAGTTGCAGATCTGCAGCATTCAATTCTCAGAATGAAAGTTTGAAGTGCTCATTTCTTTTCGAGTATCAGATACGAAAACAAAAATAATATAAAAGTTTTGCATCTTGTGTTGTGATTTACACTCGAAATTTTAAATTACACTTGAGATTTTGACTTATGGGCCAACATACTCAATTGAAATCGAATAGATCAAATTAACCAGACAAACTTAGCTTTTTGCAATCATTTACGCAACCTATCGAGTATATATAATAGGTTGAGGCACCTAGGCTGCTTCAGACTTACGTCAAGGCCCTTCGAGTGTATAATAATTTTCGAGCAGGGCATTGTGACGTAGCAGTGTCAACAAACCTATTGGTCTATGTTAGATTTTTTCCTGGAAGGACACTTGTGGACCCTATAATCAATAAAAATTTGTATTAAGCAAAGATGCCAATTTGTCATAGTGAACACAGTAGTAATATCATATCATCATAAATAAAAGTCAATAAAAATGAATACAATTGTAACTGGAGAGGCCCTGTAAGTTAACAGCCAATACCTCAGCCTATCAAAGCTATTATACAAACCGTTACAAAGAAAGCGGTCATATCAATGAAAAAAGAAAACGTGCTCCAATGGGCGAGTCACCCTTAATTTTCTCATACCATGGGTTAAAATGATCAAGTTGATGCACAAGATCTTCAGCTACAATGGCGGGGACCTCTACAAATTGAAACCCGTCGCAGTTAATAATCAGTTTGTTTGAAGATACTTCTTGCCTATTTGCGTATTATTCAAACTTCAAAACGTTTTTCATAACAGCAATCTTTCCTACGATGACTATCCGTTTTGCCATCTCGATATTAGTGCGGTAACTCTACGATTTATAATTAATCATTAGGGTACTAAGGCAATGAGATAAAAGTGGAAATTATCATACCAGCGTTACTAGACATAAACGCCTTACTTGGTGTCATTGCTAAATAAACAATAATAGATAGTTCAAATTACTGAATACATTAGCTGGAATACGGTGGAGGTGCACTGCCCTCTTTGCTTGGTTCATATGTCATGGCAGTCGGGTTTGGCCCTTGATTGTAGCCAGCCGTTGCCATGTATGGACCCTGGAATATAACATATTATAAACTACTATAAAACATGTTTGAATTCAAGTGAATGAGGAAAGTATAAATTCTTGACTATCATACTGACAAAAATCTAAAATGATCATCGTCTAGAAGGTACTTGAGAAGATAAATCAGAAATATTAAGCTTCATAAAAAATGGAAAATTTTTATTTCATTTATTTTTGTTTCATATTAAAATCTGATGGGAGGATATCCTTTCAGCATAGGTGCTGTTTTCAAGGGCCCCTAGATAAAATAAAAGAGAAAGCCCTAAATTGTTTCACATTTTTTATGAACTTTAATGGCTTTAAATAAAATCTATTTACTTTGAATCATCATGAAAATTGTTTTTCATTAACTTAGCACTTCAAAGAGACAATCAAATGAGTGTTGTATAAATGAAAAGTATATATTCCATGCAAAAAATGATTACTACATAAGCTACAATAAGGGAATTGATATTGCAATGAAGATATACTCGTTTGCTTACCTGTGGGTAGTGGCCCATTTGTGGCTGTGTGGTGTAGGCTACTGGTGTTGCATATGACACTGGCATGCCACTTGACATAGGATATGCCATAGTGGTCATTCCAGAAGATTGAAACACCATTGCGTGTTGTGGCTGCCCCTGTACAATGACCTGAAAATAAACAAAAATGCAATGTCTCTTTGCAGTTCAAATTATTTTACACCAAGCTCTATCTAAAATGGTTAACATTTGGCAATTGAAATAATCTGTTGTCAAATGTATTCTCCTATAGATTTGTATTGCATTTCCATTTACATATGATAACTTTAATTTTCATTATCATTCATTTAATGATATATACCTCTATGATTAAAATTTGAATGGTTCAAGGAAAGCTTGCTTCTTTAAACAAAAACAAATTTAAGCTGGCAAAAATGACTCCTCAATTAAACAATAAATTTTTTTGAAGAAGGGTCATTCCATGTCAAATTTAAGGTCAGTGTCACCCACCCTCTCAGATTTTGATGAATTTTACAATATATATTCAGTCCCAGGAGAAACCACCTCACCCAAAATTTCAGCACAATAGGTTAAGGCGTTCCGGAGATACGGCCAGTCAAAAGTTGGCTCATTTTAGGGCGTGGTCCGCCCAAAATTTGTGCCAGCGATAAATAATAACATTCAAAGTCCTGTGAAAGTTTTTTTATCACAATATTTACATCAAATTATCAACACAGTACATTCTGATAGTGCAGATTTCAAATATGACCACCAAAACATCAACAAAGCAAAGCTAGTTACTCAAAAAGTAGGTTAAAAGTTTATATTAGACTTCTTAGATTTTGCGACTAGCCAATTTAAATGTCATTTTTTGCAAAGTCTGCAAAAATTTTAAGAATTGAAAATAGTACCAGCTGAAAGCTCTTGAATTGGGCTTTTCAACCATATAAATATTATCATTTGTATATTCAGCATTACTGAGATTATTTTAGTTATAAAAGAGTAATAAAATTTGCGAAACTTGCCTCACAACCATTCTGTATGCCAAATGACTGGCAAAATATTTGTCAAAACATATAGCATTTTTTTCAAAAACAAATAGAAGTAGATGCCTAAGATGAAAACTATTTACTAATCAACTTCAAGATACCATTTCTTATGTTAAAAACTTCTGGAACGCTTTGTTAATGATTCAAGAGCTTTCAGCTGGTACTATTTTCAATTCTTAAAAATTTTGCAGACTTTGCAAAAAATGACATTCAAAATGGCTAGTCAAAAAATCTAAGAAGTCTTATATAAACTTTAAACCTACTTTTTGAGTAACTAGCTTTGCTTTGTTGATGTTTTGGTGGTCATATTTGAAATCTGCACTATCAGAATGTACTGTGTTGATAATTTGATATAAATATTGTGATAAAAAAAACTTTCACAGGACTTTGAATGTTATTATTTATCGCTGGCACAAATTTTGGGCGGACCACGCCCTAAAATGAGCCAACTTTTGACTGGCCGTATCTCCGGAACGCCTTAACCTATTGTGCTGAAATTTTGGGTGAGGTGGTTTCTCCTGGGACTGAATCAATATTGTAAAATTCATCGAAATCTGAGAGGGTGGGTGACAATTCATGACTTTAATATAAAATTTGACATGGAATGACCCAGAAACCCCTTATCATTGTTGCAAAATCAAGAGGATTGGAATGTTGCAAAACTTCTGGCTTTTTATCTGTTTAGGTTTTTGTTAAAAAAAGAAACTTTTGCACTCTACACAAACCAAACGGTGTCAAAACAAGAAATAACAACAAAGTCAAGTGTCAAGAAGTCAGTTGAAATTGACCAATGAAACATGCTAATTTTTAAATCAACTTGTTCTTGAAACACAAATATCTTTTTAAAAATGAGACATACAACTTGTTTACTTTCCTTTGGGAAAAATATATGCATGGAGATGCCATCGATAGATTAAAAAGCAAACATAACATTTGATACAATCCTCTAATCATACTTCTCACTGAAGTAATTAAAGGATGGTCATCATTTAGCCTTAAAGAATTCAAAGGATTTTGTTTGATCTTTTGGAATCTAAGGCTGATACCAGTAAGAAAATTTGATAGGGATGTGTTATATATTTGCCTGTAAAATTGGTACAGCCTTCGCCTTGTTAGAAATTTCAAGCAATTCATGGGTTCACGAGTACAGCTATAGCTACAAAATAATTTTATATCACAAAAAATTTGCCAAGGCAGATTATTAGCAATTGCAGCACTTGAAGCTTTTATGACCTCAGATATCAGCCAAATCTCATATCGTTGGCAGCTTTCAGCCACCAAAAAAATTTGCCTCCTTTATGTTCCCCCTTTCTGGTAACTTAAGACAACAACACAGGATCATGATTATTTATTGATAACAAAACAAAATAGAAAAACATGGTACTTACGGCTCCTGTGTTAACCTGGGTACCACAACATCCATTTTTACAGCAATAGATTGCAGCAGCCAATGCAATACAGAATTCTGCAAGCATAATCAGCAGAAAACAGACATACAAAGCAACACCTGTGTTTCGATGTGCATGATAACATGAGCTATAGTGGTAGTAGTAATATCCACAGGAATAGGAAGAGTTGTAGTAACCTGCAGCAATACAGTACACAATGAACTGGATGAACGAGACCACACAGGAAACTATTGCAAATGCCATGTTTGTGCCATTCTGTAAAAATGTTGAAGAGCAATTAAACTCACAGAATGGTTGCAAAAATGTATATGTAAAGCTTTCACAATCCACTCCAGTACAAAATAATGCAATCTTTACACACTTATCAGTTATCTGAAGAGAAAATTTGAAAACAGTTATATGGTATCATTAATTGTAAGACCATGCTTTATCTTTTTTACAAGGATAAATGTTAAGCATTCTTGTTTGGGATGACATTGGACACTCTATAAGAAAAATGTACACAAATAAAGGAAAGTGTTTATCTGAATTAGTTCTCATGTTGTTCAACTACCATTAAATAAAAAATGTTCTTTTGATATTCAGTAGAAGTGTAAAGTGAAACATTTTCCCACCAGACATGCATTGCTAGTGTTTGCAGCTGATGAAACCCCAAGAATTCCTCCAATGATAATCTAAATAGAATAAAAAGACACATTAATGTAAAAATCAATACTTTGTTGCTCACAACTGAATGAAGTACAACCCTTGATTTACTGACACTTGCTTCACACCCTGCCATAAGGCTAGGATTGCTATGCAGGCATATACAGCCTGCTAGAAAAATAAGTGTTTTCAACAAATGAATAGTTCTGAAGCCATTAGGCATTTTGCCAATTGAAACCCAAAAAACATAACTTGGAAAAATTGGAAAACTTTTACAGTAAACACTCTTAGGTCCTGCAAACTTTAACATCAAACTATAACGCTTTCATTTCATTTTGACTTTAGTTTCTCAACTTGACACAAGATATTTGCCTGTTCACATCACCTTTTTCATTTCATTTTGGAATTGGGGTTCTGTTTACTCACAAATGCTGTAGTGCAGCAGAATGCTATAATGCAGAGGATTTGCCTTTGTTTTATTGTCTTGGCACAAGCAAAGAGATGTATTGGATTAGTTTTAGCCCACATTTTCATTTTGAAAGGGCAAAAGTGGTATGAACAATATCAGATTGGATAGTTTTCGTGTAAAAAGAAGACCAATCCAGTATGAAAAGAATTGATATGAAATGAAAACAATATAAGGCAAACAGGGCCCTGTTCACTACGCCATTTTTATGTTTACAGAAAGGAAAATAACCGCTTTGGTGAGTTGACACTTTTCACAGAAATGGAGTAAAAAAAATTCAATTCTGTTGCTTTTACCGTTCACACTGTTTCTGTTTTTGCTGTTCACAATGTCATAAAACCAAAGGATTTTGACAGCACAAATTTATGTCAAGAAACAAATGGACTGAAGGAAGAAAGTTCTCTTCAACATTAAATTTCAACATAGATGCATTGAAGCAGAAGAATTAGAACATTCAAATGGGCAGATGAGATCAAAGATATGTTTATTAACTTGTAGTATGAAGAATTTCACAGGGTCATGATAAAAGTACCAATGAAGATCAGGTATTTGTTCAGTAATTGATCCCAAAAGGTGACATCACAGCATACCAAAGCTGCTGTTTGCACATATTTCAAGACTGAACATGATTAGTGTGGGATTTGAGATTATGAGTGCTCCAAACAACTTTTTTCCAGTCATGTCTTTTTCATTGCCTCCAACATGATTATTACCAAATTTGGCCATAATTTACCCAATAATGTTTAAGGAACTTGCATTTTTACCCAAAAATTTAGATTCCTCAAAAAAACTTGTCTAGAAAAATTATATGAGAGTTTCTACTGGTCTATTAGTGTGAGAAAGCTTCTAACTGGTGCCAAAATAACTCTCATCACTTATGGTTGTCTGACAGTCAGTTTCAAACTCTCATACCACAGTCAATTCTCAACAAAGTAGTGCTCTCCTATCTCCTCAGTTAACCTAGCTAGTGAGAGGGCTCCTCCTCAAGAAATTCCCTACATACAATTTTCCTCTTAGTATTTAAAATATTGACATTTACATGTTTATATTGTAATTGTTATTAACTATAGATTTGTTGTTATTTATCTGTCAAATTGTATGTATATGTGGAATTTTAAATCTGAGAACTGAACTGAACTGAGAACTGAACATACTTTACTAGTTTACAAAATTTGAGGTACCATAAATCCCTGAATTGCCCCCCCCCTCCTCCAAAAAGGCCCCCCTCAAATAAGACCCCACCCTTGAACTACAAATTGTCAATAAGAACCCTCCTCAAATAAGCCCCCACTGCTACCATAAATTCTCAAATCGGACCCCTTAATTTAATGATTTTTGCCATCTGAGGTTGCCTATGGCATTTTATTGAATTGCCACAACAAATTGATATTTTTGGTAGTAATCCAGATTGGAATTTTTGCCTTGAGCAAAATCCTCTGCACACATCAAGTGTCAGCCGCGCAGTTTCTATTGAAATGATTCATCCAGCTGCACAGGGTTCTTATTTAAATGTAAAACTTATCTTGTACGTACTCAATAATTGACACTTTTCATTAAATTTGAATTTGAAGACCCTCTGAGTAGCAGATCGTCTAAATCATCATTACTTTTTGCTCGTGTACACACGAGGCTGGGTTTTGTACACACCGGCTGGGAGCGGTATTAGCGTTATTAGTCTAATAGCAATTTTTTTTCAGCAAAGGCTCTTATAATCTACTGGTCATATATCTTTAAAAAAAAACTAGCACTGGAAATCCTTGGCAAAAACAGTTTATTTGGACCGCTAACTGTTTTCCTGCCATTTTGCAATGATATGGCGTGATATGGCCATGGTAGAGCGAGCAGAAGCCGCTACTCTTGAAACTGATTTGATTCTTTCAAAAAAGACCTCCCTCCTACGCTTGTCGCGACACTTATTGTGACCCATTCATCTGGCGGCCTCAAACAAATACTACAGCCACAGCCCTGAAATTTTGCTATTAGGTTTGTGAATCCTAATAGCAACTTTCATATCCATCTTTGTTTGTGTCTCCTTGTGTGACGTAAAGTGGCCAATCATGCTGTTGTGAAAGACCCAATATATGCGGACTTGCTATTAGCCGGGTCACTTCTAATAGCAAGATTCCCCAGTTCACTCTTCCATGCATGTGGTATATTGCGTTTAAAATAAATCATATGGCCGTTTCTAGTTTACGTTGGGTGTTTTAACGACATACTGACAGACAATCCTTTCTTCACAACAACAATAAACACACCAAAAGCGACTTCGTTTAAATATTTGAAAGATAGCGCTCTCTTATTATTTTGGTGAAGCGATATGTAGTTTATTCTCAGGCTGTTACGTTAGTTTCATCGAAAATCCAAATCTGCACTTAAATTGAATTGAAAAATATGGTGCTTTGGTTTTTTATGTTAACAATGAGCATTTATCAGAAATATTTGAGTATTTCAATGTACGATACTTGCCGATATGATTTTGCTATTAAAAGAGGGCCATTAATAGCAACAAAAAAGAGGCTACGGCTACGGACAGAGAGCCTTTTCATCGTAAGCTGATGATATTCATCTGCGGCCCGCAGGCCGTCAAAGCCAAAGCCTACAGTCGTAATTGAAAGACTGAATGTGTAGACATGACTTCGGAATTGAAGATATATTCCAATAAAGGTTGTTTTAGTAGAAATTTGAAAGAATGTCTGAATTTTATTTAGAACTAAGAAACGTGCTGCAACTTTACAATATTTTTAGGATTAGTATCAAATTCAAAATTATAAGTCTGACAAGTCTGACAATGGGCCTTATTGCTCTAGAGATCAAATAACCTCTGACCGTGGCCATAGCCCCCCCTCCCTGATTTTTTTGCTTTTCTCTTTATGACTATGAGAAAGAGAGCGTTACAATAGAAAATGGCAAGGTGTTTTCGACTTGCGGCCAAGAAAATCAAGATGTAACGATGAGGTAGAGCATAGGAAAAGACAGTGCAATATTGAAAACAACCATTGAAGAGGGTGTGGTTGGAAGTAAAAAACAGCGGCAGCCACGCCCTGATACCACGATTTTCTCTAATAGCAGTTTAAAATCTCTCCCAGCCGCCCCTGGTACACACATATGCCAAATAACAGCAAACATGTGAAGGATATTTTTATCATTTCTGGGAGTAAAATACACATGGAACAGGATGATCTAATTTTTTACCATGCACAAAGTTTTCAAAGTTTGAGCAGATTTTGGTTTACGAAAAAAATTCTCATCGGGTTGGATCCCTCTCGTTTTTATTTTTAGGAATTATGAAAAATGTTTGTCTTTGCTATATAGTTTTTATCACCACTACTAATGCCACTAATGTTTTTCTCTGAAATGTATACCCAAAAGTAATATACCAGGCCTGGCCGTTTGAGGCGAGCGATAGCTCGCGCTCGCCTCCACGATCCATGAAGGGAGAATCGCTCCCCTAAAATTTCCATTCATTTGCCCTTTTCCTATTCAGAGAACCCTGAAAACGGGTTAATTGGCTTATTTTTGTAACAGCGATTTCTCCCGTCACTGCATTTTTTTCAATTAACTTTTTGCTTGTTGGGCGGTTTTTGTTATGATATGCATAACTTCGATCTATTTTGAAAAGGATAGTTAACCGAAAGGTACGTTTGTAGCGATTAGAACCTTTCGATCCTAAGAAAACAGGAATATTTTTGGAAGGAAAGTCGAAGAAATGGGTAGGAATTGTAGATTGGGGATATAATAAGATAGCAGGTCCCTTCCAGCAATAGAAACAAAACTATCCCTCAAAGAGAACAGGGTACTCTGTCTTGCAGATCAAAAACGACAACCAAAACATGGAATTCCACTATCCAGCGGCATTTACTGAAAAACCCAGATTGGGTGAAAACTATAACGGCAACATGTTTGGCATTATTGGCAAAGCCTGATCATCGTTCCATCTAGCAGTTTGTGAATCTATCTACTATATAAACATGACCAACCGCTTTTGTGTAGACAGAAGTGAGTTCGTTTTCACCTTAGGACTCCGTTGGTAATATGTTCAATAGGAAAGCGGCACTGATTGGACAACCTCAACAGTCATGTGCTCGCGCTTTCTGATTGGCTTATTTCGATCCAAAACTGGGTATTTTAGCGTAGGGTTTTCCTTCTATGTTCTGACGTTTTATTCTCTGAAGAGTGCTAGACGTATAATTAAGTTTGTTTCAAAATTTGTTTTTTAAAGCCTTTTTCAAATTCTGTGCAACAAAAAGATTGTTTTGCAAGAGAATTGTTGTTTTTGTGTTGTGCCAGCTTTACATAAAACGGAAAGAGTCTGTTCTTTCAAATACTTCAAGTAAAGGGGGTGCCTAAGTCACGGTTAAAGCAAATACATTTGAAAGAAGTAAAACAGCACACTCCTGACTGAGGCTATTACATTAAGGCAACCAACAGATACTAAAGGGGCTTATTAAGTCATCTGTTGATTGTCTTTAAAGTACATTCTATGTGTTACTGATTTAGCTCGCCTCAGCAAATGAGGGGAGCAATTCACAGCTCACCTATGAAAATACAAACGGCCAGGCCTGAATATACTATTTTTTTATGGTAATTAGTCTTAGCAGCACAAAACATTTATCTGAATTATTTGCAAATGCGCAATTTTCATGGACATGCAACAGATCCATGGACATGCAACAGAAACTTCTACAAAATTAAAGACGGTCTTATAATAATGTCTCCTTAACTTAATGTCTACAATAATTTTATAAGCCCCCCCTCTCGTTTAAACCACCCCCTCGTATAAGCCGCCCCCCCCCCGAAATTTTTTGAAACGGCCTAAATTTCACTGTAAATAGGCATTCGAACTTTAATCGATTCGCATAAAAAAAGCAAGTAGCCAAAAGGCCTTTGAATGATGGAAACCTTGTCCGAATGTCTTTTTGAATGTCTAGACGAATGTCGCACGCTAAATAGCGGAACATAATCTTGTAAAACTCAAATGAAAAAAATATGACGTCATCGCTTTCAATACACATAAAACGCAAACACGGATTGGAATGGCTTTTTAAGAAGAAAATCGATTTTGTTCTATAGACAAACCGCGATAGGTTTTCTGTGCACGCCGTCTATTTAATAAGTCTAAGATCGGGCTCCTAAATCAACAATCGAGCCGACATTTTGAAAGTGAAAGAAGGCGTAAGCTTCTGAAACTATCTTTATCACAAAATGACTTACCCATATGCCGCCCCATATCCCGAATCCTACGTGTCCAGCCCAGTAGCGCAGCAATGCAATAGTAAGAATCCCAAAAAGCACAGTGAAGCAGCCAAGAACGATCTGAGCTATGCCAAGGCCCCGTGTCGCAGAAATCCAACTTGCGTTATTTGCTGGGGAAGGTCTGGCCTGGGCAACAACAACCGGTTGCTGAACAAAAACAGCTGGCGCACTCATTTCTGCCTAATTTCTCCAAATCTTTACCAGTCTGAGCAATATTCCACAAAAGACTGTTTTTAGCTTGATCGGAATAACTTTTCGAGGTAATACTAGTTCCTTTCTTGATGGATCAAATGTCAATTTGAAAATACGCATTCTTGAATTGTCATAGCAATGCAGGACCAATCACCGCTTGACAATTTCTTCCTTGTGTTCAATATTTTGAAACCGGCCTCTTTGCCATGAGATGACGTAATGAATAGGAAGTGTGGTAAAAAATAATCTCTCTCCCACTGCTCCCACTCACTACCAATGAAGACAAGCCGTGGGTGTGGCAACCAGTGGCGAAGCTAGCCAAAAATTGTTGGTCCTGCTATATGGACAGGGCCACGCCCTTATTCAATTGGAAAAGCCTATGGACAAAAATTCTATTTTGCAGATGAATTTTTTCTTAAATTCAGTGAAAAGCAAATTTTAAATCGATGTCTATCTTTTGAAAAATAAACCCATACTTAAAGACGTGCTTTAGGGTGCTTACTTTTCAAACAAATATATGTTAAATTGTAGTAAGCCTCTACAGCTGAAGTAAAAGTTCAAATTGGTGATAACTAAATTTCACGATAAAAGGGGGTAGGGGTGGCATTTAAAGTTGCATATCATACATTTGTGTTATTCCACACATAATATAAACCTGACCAATCTAGATACTCTTTTAAAATAATTTTAATAAACAACAGAGTTTAAAGTCTGTAGGGGCAAGTTCACATATTCTGCAGAACAATTATTCTGCAGCTGATAAAGAGAGGTACAATCGAATAATGTGTCGCATTATCAATGAAAACAACTTTATTAGATAAACCATTAGACGAGAAAACAATTCAGGTAGAAAAATGCAAATTCCGCTGAAATTGGTTTATTCTCCAACTCAAAACTTTCAATCACACAACAGTAAATTCAATTATGCTTTCATCGTCCTTGTCCAAGTCTAAGAAAATTTTATTTAGGCCACCATGATATACCGTGCCTCAAACGATCGTACAAAGGCCGAAATCAGAGTGCCTCATACAGCCAATTCTTGTTGTTTACATTTCTTTCTTGCGAACTTTGGACTCTGTCTTGTTACAAATAAAATTTATGCAGCTCAACTGAGGCAAGTTTTGCTGTCAATAATAATATCATTGGTATTGCCAAAGCAAGCAGAAAATCCGCATTCACATCGCCTCGCCATAATACTTGAACTGGCCTCCTTGCTAGTATCTCATAGCAGAACGAGAATGCACAGGGCAATTCTTGCAGTCCTGCTCTCAGAAATAGCAGGACCAAAGGTTTTCAAACAATGCTCTTTGACCTACGTAGGTGAACCCTCGACCAATCAAATCACAACTGCTTACGAAATGTTATGATGGTCATTTCGACGAGGTCCTGCTCCCGAGATTGAGCAGGACTGCTCTTTGTTCTAGACTATTGTGAAGCAGGACTAAATTCACAAAAGCCTATTGTGAAGCAGGACCAAACATAGGGTATCATAGTTATGAGCAGGACCAAAATACAGGGCTGCCGTAGAAGAGAACAGGACCTTGAGATTAGCACGGGATGCCTGTATCAGCTGGCGGAACTGGGGACTGTTTATCAAAAAGAATTTGAAACTTCCTTTTTGCAAAGAAGAAATTGTTTATTGTTTACAGTAAATCTTATCTTTGGAAATTCTTGGTCCTGCTCAGCAGGACCAGCAGGACCTTTGGCTTCGCCACTGGTGGCAACCCCACAGTTGCTAACGTGTTGATCGGCAAATCTTACGTTGTTTAAAAAATCGCCTGACAGTAGTTGAATTAGGACCACAGATAATTTCTTTATTGTTTGTGTTATTTTCGGAGAGCGACGGAAAAAATTTGCTTTCACTTTTTAGGCTACGTAGGAACAATGCAAATCAATGTTTCAAACATTTTGAAGTCATTTAAGGCTTTGGGAAATTTAAATACAGGTTGTTTCTTAGAGTTTCTTAAAATATGAAGATATCTAATTTGAACTTATTTGGGATATTAAATTTGATTTTTTGCGCTAGCATATCTCCCAAAAATCGGAAATCAAAAATCGCTAGAAAATCGCTAGAAAATTGAAAAAAAGTTGAAATCATTTCAATATATTTTTAACCGTTCCGGTACAATAGTTTTATTTTGATCAAAATCGTCCAAAGTGGGTTTTCGGCTTAAAAGCGGAAGGGCTGAGTTTAGGGTTTAAGGCTTGTCCCCGAAAATATTTTAGGGCCACACCCTTTGAAAACGCATCTTTAATTGTATAATTGCTTCAAGAAACTTAATTTATTTATTAAACAAGATAAAATATCATTAAAATGAAAAAAACAAAGTGCTTCCAGTCAAAAAGAACTACTACTTAAGAGTTATTAGAGAAAACTTTTCAAAGAAAAATGTCTCTTTTCATTTATTACAAAGTCGTTGGCAGCCCCCTCCCAATCAAGTAAAATTTATCGAATTTTATACCAACTCAGACAATTTTATCTGAAAGAACGTCATTGCTTCTGCTTGTTTAGCTCAATATTGCAGAGTTATTGAATCTTGGTTGTTTCATATTCGAAAGAAGCCAGGGTTTCAGGCGTCTAGTCATTCAAAAAGATCTCTCTAAATGCACTCGTTGCTGGGTTAACGTGCAGAATTTTACAAGCAGCTATCACTTTTCCTTCGAGATGAAGTTTTGCAGGCTTGAAATTTGTAATTCCCTCTCAGAATGTCATCGAATCAGATGGCTTCATTTTCTCTGAACAGCAACTTGAAGAGCATTAAACGATAGTATAATGATATCTTTATCGTAATCATAAAGTTTATATGATTGACACAAATATTAGTTATAACAACACAAAATAGAAATTCCATATTTGAAATTGTTTTTAACCTACTAATGCAAAAATGTGAGGGGGAGCTAAAGCGCGGTCTGTGGAAGTTCGCTCCTGCTCTTATGATATACTTAGATGAGGGAATTATACATCTGTTCTCTGTTTCTAAAGTTCAATGCAAACCGGACAATTATATCATTGGGTTTTAACAAAATTTCGTATTTCTGGGTTTTTCCAAATTCCAATTGTGTCTTAGTTTTTTACTTTGAGTACTGAAGTTTCTTAACTTTTTCTGATTGTACACAACTCGTTTCTCATAACTAGTTTCTTATAATTTTATTGATTGTTCATTATTATTTGTTTGTTTATTGATAGTATTTGAATTTTATTGATTGATTGACAAATCTTATAATCTTATAATCTTATAATCTTATAATTTTATAATATAATATAATCTTACAATACAAGTTATTGGTGAATATAAACATTGCATTGTATTCTAGAGACCCAGTGAATGCTGCAGTGCCATTTAGTAGACTCGCTTGAACAGTGTTGCAAGAAATTTCTGTTTGCTCTTCAAACGCCCCTGTGTTAACCTAAGTAGCATAGAAACCGATAGATATGTACACCTTAATTATATCTGAAAAATTTTCTTTCAGGGTTGGCTGTAGACTAAACGTGTGGGATCAGGTACACCTTGGGGGCTTGTTATCGCCAATATTTTGCCAGTGACGTAAATGCCCCCTTTAAGGTTGAATTTTTACTCTCACAGGGACCTTTTGTCAGAGTTTCTTTCTTACTTCTTTGAAACAAACGCTTCTTAGGTCCCTGCGGTGGTGACACGAGCTGCATTCAGGGTTGGTATATTGGCTTTTTTAGCCAAATTCCAGAAATTCGGCTGTTTTTCGAACTTGTTTGGCTTCAGAAATTCCTTTTGGCTTAAACTCATTTTTTGGCTTAATTTTGGCTTTTTCCCATAAGTAAGGGTATAAGTACTTATTTCCTACCTTCCTTCTTTTTTCATCATTCTAACAGAAATTGACAATTCAAGCAGTTTATGCAAATATTTTACTGTGATTTTGACACTTTGTTGAACATCTGCGATTTTATTTACCTTGCCCGATTGTTACGTAATTTTTTCTTTGTTCTTCATTCTTTCTGCCTGTTGAAGCAGGGTTTAATGACCACGATGCGAAAAGGGGGAAGGGGGACTTGGAGGGGTGGTGTCGTATGGACTGACTTTCTACTTTATCTAAATCCTATGATAAAATGTTTAGGGAAGGGTAAATATTCTGATAGCAAAAACGGCTAAGCCTAAAATTGTCTGTTTGCTCCCATGTTGCTTTGTTTTAATTTTACTAAAAATGCGTTCCCTTACATGTACATCATGTGTTAGAATTCTATGAATACAATAAAAAAAGTGTTCCATCAGTCAGTTGAAAAATACCTAAGCTTTTTCACAAGAGTGGAAAATTTAAGCCGTGGGTAGAGAAATACGTAAGGGTTGAAGGGGGTCAAGCACCCTATGGATTGAACAAAAAAGTTATTTCTAGCCTCGTTTACAATTTGAAATTTTCTATTGTTTTGCTGCCTCGTTTACATTTTGGCCTAATTTGGCTTTCTTCCAACATTGATTTGGCTTGAAGCCCCAAAAGAATCTACCAACCCTGGCTGCATTGTTCGTAGGTCTGGGTGGAGGCAAGGCTCAAGAATAATTTTACGAATCACGCCTTACAATGTAACCACAAATGCTTTTTATAAAACAAAATCAAGGGAGTCTTTATTATATTTTGTTACAGGGATGTTGGGAGCATTTCAATATTGAAGAGACACAGGTAGAGAGGGGCAAAGTGTCTCAGATAAAAGGACGCTTTCCCAAAGGTTCTGAATGCAGATCTGATGCAAGGAGCGTTTTTCCAAATGTTCGGAGAGGCTGCCATTCTCGCAACCTTAAAAATATTTTGCTATTGCTTTAATAAAGAAAATACTTTCTTGCTTGCTATCATAAAAGCATTTCCGCTTCAAGAGGCAAGCAGTTGCTGGCCTCAGCCCACAATGCGCGCCTCGTAGCAAAAAGAAAAATTATTTAAACTCTGATTAGGAGTCATGGAGGCCTCAGTCATTTCCAAGCAAAAAAATCTATATAATTCTGCTATTTTGCATATATTAAAAATGTTTTCATCTCTCAAGTTAGTAAGGAAAACACAAGCAACTGTGAGGAATTTAAAAACACAGCTCGAGGCACCAAGTACTGGTAGGATTATTTCCTATTTGCAATGTTTCCTGGTGAGCAAAATTGTTCCAGTTCTCGCAAAGTTAAAAAAGCATTTTAAAAAAAATGTTGCAAAAAGATTTACGTATTCAGACGCACTGTTAGACCATCAATTGTTTCTCAATAATATGTTTAAGGAACAATTAAAAGAACATGCTGATAGCAGCATTATAATCTCATCGAACGTTACCCGATGGAAAAATTATTTATTTTTAATCACAATGGAGGTTTTCAAAGTTGAACAAAGTTGCATACGTAGGCTATTGTAGGAATAACTCGTGTTTTTCTTAGAAGTAATAACATCTTACTCCAGTTCAGAAAAAGTTCTCTTCCATCTGACCTTTCTAAAAGTCTGCAACTTATAAATCTTCTTCTTAAAGCTTACCAAGAATTTTATCGACAATAAAGGATGTTCATATACTCCTTGTTGGGAGTGAGAGTGCAAATGTTCATGCTGGTTCATCTCATCTCAATAGCACTCTCTTCATAACATAACATAACATAACGTTACATAACATAACATAACATACATAACATAACATAACATAACATAACATAACATAACATAACATAACATAACATAACATAACATAACATAACATAACATAACACAACATAACATAACATAATATAACACATGACATGACATGACATGACATGACATGACATGACATGACATGACATGACATAACCAGGTCCGCACTTTCCATTTGGCCCGGGGACGAGGGCCCACAAAAATAAAGGGGCCTGAAAAAAATATACGAAGGTTTGCATGGTGTTGGAGGTTTTCTTCTACAAAAATTTATTGACGTTACCGAATAACATTGTCTCGACAAGGCAGGAGAGATATGATCAAAAAAATAATTACGTACAGTTTTCAGAATGACACCTTGTTATGAGAGAACATCGGAAACTTGGACGTTATTCGAGATCTTTTTAATTATATTGGGAAAATAAACAAGATGTTATAGGATAGGGCCAATACAAATCTTTGCAGCAGGCTGAAATTGCTCGATCTGCTAACAGATAAAGTGAAAAAATTGAAGATAACGATGAAATGGTCAACGAAAACATTGAAATTGATTTAAAAATCTTCACTCAGGAACCACAAACAGCTACTGTACAAAGGTCATGACCTCATTTGTGGGGTTTTTGGCTAGAAAAAAATTCGGCACTTAAGTCAATGTGTTTTGTTTTTTCCTTAGTAATGTTGGGCCAAGACGTGATGGAAATTCAGATATAAGACTCCTTATTGTTCACAACTCCTAGCCATTACGGTCAGACCTGATATCAAAACTTTGTCCCAATCAAACAATGTAAGGGAGTTAGTCCCGATCTGAAGAAAACCCATCCAATTATTTTGTATATGGAAAATTGCTTCAAGACTGCATTTTCCAGCGAACTGAATCACTCATGGTGCTGCAGAAGGGTAGTACGATAATCGAGACGTTTTCTTATGATAAAAGGATGCATACTTTCAAAAAAAATTGAGCAAAATTAATTAATTTGTTCGAATAATTAATTCAACTTTTGGTAGATATTTCTTTATCTCAGTTTCTACAAAGGAAATTATTGGACATTCACACTTGCTAGGGAGGTCTCCGTTTATGTTTGGAAGTTTGCTACAAGATGGGTAGAAATTGAAAATAAGCAAGGAATATTGTAATTTTGGTGGGCAATGAAGCGGTTAACCTTTATTTGAAGAACTACGGTTCTAAGTTGCTACTCTGAGTTTCACGCTCAATGTTAACTTCAAACAGTTGCATGATCATCGAATTACGTGTGAAACTCGGAGTAGAAGCTTAGAACCGCCCTGTTCTATATACCAAAAACGTGTATCTAATTTATAAAACCGGACATTGTATGCCAGATGGGTATCCAGCAATTCGCGATCGTTCTTTTGACTTTTCAGCAAATCGATAAGTAAGACTATTTCGCAAACTAAAATATTTTTATCATATTAGGGTACTAAATGCATTGAAACTGTCTTTTCCCTTCACTCCCTTCCTTTAATACATTTCTTCATAACAGTCAAAATTTTTACAATCCTTCACAGCAAGTCAAGTACAGCCATTTTGCTAATCAGCCGTTTAGAACTCAAATACTGCTTTTGATATCTCTCCCTTTCTCAAAGCAGCAAAGGCAGCCTCGTAGTCCTGCAACTGAAAGGCTTTCACGTCAAGCACATTCCAGTCAAGATATCTTTCCGACATGTCATGTACAAGTTTTATGGTGCGAGGAAACGTAAATTTGTTCAGGTATGACGTCACAACTTTGATCTCTTTGGCATAAACGTTAAACGGTTCGAAATTGACAATTTTCCCCTTGGGGCAGACTCCAAATAAAACAATGGTGGCACCTTTTCTAAGCCACCGTAGCTCTTCCTCGACAGCTGCAGGGAAACCAGTACAGTCTATGATGACATCGAATCCGTATGTTTCGTCCTTCTCAGCCTCAGCAGCCCTGCGAGACAACTCTTTTGGGTGAACACACTCGTACCCAAGGTTCATTCTTGAAGCCATTTCTTTCCGGTGCTCAGAAATTTCACTAATGGTAACATCTCGATAGCCATGAAAATGAAAAAGGGATGCCCAAAGAAGTCCAATGATGCCTGCAAATCGAAAATAAAGACAAATAATTCCAAACGTTCAATTTTATCTATTTCTGATCAAATCACATATCTACTTAACCAAAATAAATTGATTGATAAGACAAATTACGAGATCTATCGTTAAATTGTAGGTTATAAAATATAGGCGGATGAAAATCTTGACGGTACCGCTTTGAAAAAATTAAAGATTGTGTCAACAGCAGTGGGCTATGATTGGGAATGAAGAAAATGAAGAATCTTTATTATAATAGCGATTTATATTAGATTACGTTTTTAATTTTGATAGCCTAGAAACATCTTATGGATTTGCTATCGTCTTTAGTTTTTGTGCTACCAGCAATTACTATAAGTTTGAGAAAGAAAAATCAGCAAACAAAAAACAAAGCCGGAGTAGCAATTTTGAACTAAATCAGGTAGAAATATCCGATTTGAATGTAAACTCGAATTGTCCGGCGTACAAATCGATATGATTCAATTATAATGCTATGTCCTAGAAATACTGTAGAAATTAGAATAAAACAAATTAGAAAGAGAGAATGACATTAAACGGAAATAAAGACCTGCTCCTGCAATTAGAACTTTTGAATCAGATTCGACATGCCCCATGTTGTCCCAGCCTCTCACGATTGTTGAAAGGGGCTGGCAAAATACTGCCTGCTTCAATGACATTGTGGAAGGTACTGGATGAACAAGCTGCGCAGGAACCACGCAGTATTTTTGCATGCCCCCATTCTTCTGATACCCATAAGCAGTTCGCATTGCCTCTGTAATACAAAACTGAGGTTGTCCTCTAGTGCAATAGTAACAGGTGCCACACCAGTTGTATGGATTGATACACACCCTGAAATCAAAGAATGAAATTTGACGCCTGAAACATTTAAATTACAACAGCAACCAGTTTCATTACTTTAGTAAATCGGGTTTTTTGGTTTTTCAGGATTTCCACAACGTTTCACCGAATATTTCACCATCCGTATATATGTAAACAAACTGGCATATTCAAAGTTTCAGAGAGAGATAACTACTTCCTTAAAAAGTATTACTTATCCACAACAAAAATAAAAGATATGACACCATGATGAGATCTAATTCTTGACATTGCACGACTATGCCTGACTCAATCAAAAACTTAAAATCACCAGCTTATGTATAAAATCAACGACCTAAAGTAAGCTGATTAATTCTAGGCGAATTAAATAATAGACTGCATAGTTTCGCTTGTAAAGAGAGGCAAGACGAGTGCATAATAACCACTCGTGCCATTTTACTAAGCAAAAATCTCAGAAACAGGAATGCGTGGTCGAAAGGGGTATACAAATAGCAGATAGCATGAGATTTTTGTAACTGCAAATCCGGACACCCAAGCACTTGGAAACAGCCAGAACTTGTTACAAACAGCTATAACAGAACTAGGAAACAGCAACAATTTGTTGACTAGGAACCAACATCAGTTACAAATATTGACCGAACAAGAGGAAAGCTGAAATATGTCTAAAGCACAACCTATGCCAAGAATAATTCATAGAAAGTGACTTTGAAATGTACCATTAGGATGTAAGTTGAGCATTTAGGGATTACAACGGAAAGAGCATTCAATGAGTCTAGCAAGTAGGATAAACGAAGCGTGTCTGAAAAGGTGTGAAGAGAGGTGCAAGTAATGAAAGTGAAGCAAAAGTGCATAACAGCTGAATACTTTCACAGAATATATTACGAGTGGCAACCTACATTACGCATATTTCAAAATATTTTGCCGTAGTGTTTAGAACGGTGTTGAAAGGTTTTTGACTCAACCTAAATATGACAATTATAAATTTTTTGAATTTTTTGATATATATTCATGTTTTTCTCTAGATGTTTTATTCGCAACGATTCTTTATAAAAAATACACAGTTATGCACTATTTGCATGCTCAATATAATCATATGACTGGCGGTATGCACTGTCTCATTTCTGACTGCTTTTCTTCGCCGCATCATTATGATAATGAGTTTAAGCTGAAATTGAAATTCACCATTGATCTTTACTTTTAGGCATGTTCCCCTGTCCCTCAAAAACCCTATACAACCCTCACCAGTTTCACCGTGTTAGAAAGAAAGTAAAATCATTGCTTGATCTTTTGAACAAACGATAGACTGATAGAAGGGTTGTATAGGCAGCTGGGGTCTGCATCGAATCTTGTTCAGCGCCCAAAACTACCCTTGCGGACGACGTTTCATGCTTGCATCCGATTTTGCGCAACTCTCTTAAAATCTGGGACTACCAGCATTGAGATTTACTCGTCATTACTTCGCTACAAGTCATTACATTAGTTGATTTCTCTTCTGGTAATATTTAGGTAAACCTTAGCATTTCAATGGATCCGAACAGTTATTTTACCACTGACTACATCGTTAAGAACCGCACAATAACAGCTATTTTGAATAGTGTAGTCCAAAGCAAGATAACAAAGTGTTGGAATTCATACAGAACTTCTTACAGTAGCGAAATTGATTGGAAATATCAGACAAGCAAATGTTTGTTGCTGACGAAGAATACTCGATCACCTACAGATTAACTTATGTAATGACTTGTAGATGAATTTAAGGCTACCATTACTACCAGCATATAAATTTTAAAGCAGGTCGAATACACTTATGGTTTTATATTCAACGGTCTTTGTTCTAGAATTACGCTTCTGAGCTCTTCTTTTCCTAAGGGGAAATCTGGTCCCAAGCTGATATTTTCATACTTTTAATTAATTTTCTCAGCTCCCTCCTAATGAATTTAGAAAAAAAATACACAGAGACTGCAGAAAAGTATGAATCTATCTGAAGGAAAATACAACTGAGCACTGAAAAATTTCGTCAGAAAAAGTTTGGTTGTGATACTTTCGTTACATTTCTTCTCATTGGCTTTCTTTCCGTTTGTTGACCACCCCCAGGTATTCTGAGCTCCATTTACCTAAATCTGCAGGTGAAAGAAGTCCGTTGACTTCACGCAATTTTCCACAGTCAGAAACATTCATGATAGGAAAATCTTTGATAATAACTTTAGGTATATAGGTAGATAAACTAAGTGGGTTTAGGGTGGTGTCAACCTGTCGTCAAAAACAACACTTACCTATCACCAATGTTGACATGTGAAACTGCACTTCCAACTTCACTTACAATTCCAGCAAATTCATGACCAAGGATAAGCTTGCTAGCTGCTGGAAACTCTCCTTTGATAATATGAAGGTCTGTACCACAAACCCCACAACATTTCACTTGAATTACGACGTCATATGGCTCCTTGACTTTTGGTATCGGGGTTGTGACCAATGAAAGCTCGCCGCCGTAAAGCTGTACAGCAGTATTCATCGCGACCCTTCAGCAAAATTCTGCAAACAAACACATAGAATGCTCATAATAAACCCTTTCTTAACATGAAAACTGAACAATCGCAAACGAAAACAAAACGAAAAGAAACATCCGAATGTACCAAAATCTTGTGGTTACTAGATTTAATATTTAAACATAAAATGTCCAGCATTTAAAATAGAGCTGCAAAAATTTTCCATGATGCAATGTGCCAAAGCCCTATATCTGACAAGAATGCAGTAGTTTAGATATTTTCAAAAGATCCTTAAAATGTCATATCTTTATGTTACAGAAACATCTAACTTGCCCCATTAAGACTGTCCAATCATTGGCAAATCCAGGGCAGCCACTAGCTATTGCACTCAAGGTGGTGCTCAGATGCCAATTGCGGATCAAGTGGTTGACAAACTATGAATTTATTGATAAGTCTGCATATTTACAGAAAAGGGACCCTAAATGGCAAAAACTCTTTGTTTTAGCAAAAAAAATTTCTTCCAAGGGGGATTTTATATCCCCCACATCCCACTGTAGCAACAGCCCTTGGCAAATCAGTATGACTTTCCATTCACAGGTTGACAAATAGGTTTTAGCAGGAAGAGCAGCATAAACAGCAAGAGTCAATGTAAGTAATGTTGCATATGACAACATTATGCATGGAATATCAAAGTGATGGAATAAAGAAAACTGTTCATAATATTTTGAATAACATTACATCACCAGTGCATACAGGGACACAAGATACACAGCAAACTACATAGATCTAAGCAGTATTAGTCAAAGAATATACATCTTTAGAATTGCTTCTATGACCTTAGCAATAACACCATCTACATTTAATTGCTTATAAAATGTTAACATGTACATAAATTGAAAAACTGCTTGAAACTGCCCCACAAAAACTGTTTACTTATTATTCTTCTACATAGCCACAACTATTATCAATATCCTTACAGCAGTAAAATGGCCAGGGGGTTCCCACTTTCGCGCAATTATTTTAAAACAACAAAACATTCTTCAGATAATGTTTGTGAGAGGCCTCAAAACAAGCCACGAGTTTAATTGAGAATGGCCAGGATTTCATAAGTAAGCAAAGGCAGTGGTGAAAAGAAATTTCAGAAGCTGAGATTTTTACATTTAGAGGTACATTGTGATTCGGAAATGGTGTTTTTGTCAGGTCAGGCTCCACCTGCTACTGGTAACATGTAATCCAGTACTATCTGATGCATGGTTCATTAGCTCAGCAACAAAACTGGCTCCCCCACTGAACTTATCCATGAGGATGGTGACTAGCGACCAAGCAGGATTAGAAATAAGACCTGTTAAAGGGCAGAGGAGCTTGTCTGTGAGCCAACACACAACTAGCTAGAGAAAGTGTATCCATAAAAACACCAGCATTATTCATTGTAAACATTTAAAAAAGAACATGCTTTTTGTAGCAGACAAAAATTGTTGTTCAAATATATTTGTTCTACATAATATCAACGCAAACTTAACTTTAGATTAATCCAGAGAAAAGAGCCAGCTCTGTAAACACATTAACATTTATTTGTTTGACACCTACATTTCTATAAAATATTGACTTTTCCTAAGGATCTACAGTCACAGTTTAGCAACTCGATATATTTTACTAGCAATATCTTACAGCAGAAAAATAAGGATAGTTTAAGCTGGCAATTTTATCTATGACTGAAAAATGATAAAAGCAGAAAAAAATTTGATCACTTTCAAAACAGAACATGCTTAGCTCTGAAGTCAAATTGATGTTCAATCACCCTTTAAAAGTTTGATAAGAAGAGCAAATTTCACAAATAATTTTCAAACTCCTTTCCCTTCTCCTGATAAGGAATAGGAATAGGTTAAATTTACCATATTTGCAATGTAGAAAATGCACCCTTTTTAGTATTTGGCTATTCTTTAGGGTGTGTCTTATATATTATTGATTTTCCCATCATTTCCTCATTGTGGCAAAATATTATTTTATAGACAAAATATCTTACAGAAGACAGACTTTTAAAAACCTTTGTTAATCAGTATGGCATCACTTGAGTCCTGTCCCACTGGTCTCAAACTGAAAATTGTGGAAGAAATTTTGGCACATGAAAATCAAAAAGGGAAGATAACATTTTGGAATTAACAAATTCAAAGTTTGAGGAAGAATTTAATTCATTTTAAAACCTGGCATTTCTATTGGTGTCAATTCAAAATTCAAAGGTACACATGTTGGGTTTGAACCAATTTTCAACCACAGAGTTTCTTGAATAGTATATTTTTTGTATATTTTTTATATTTTCTTCTTTATTTATTATTACAATTTACAAATTGTGAGAAAAAAGGATGTGTTTTGTACATGTACAAAACATGTACATGTATGGTAAGACACAGTTATTATTTTCTTAGAATTTCAACATAAAATTTAGGATTGGTCTTATACAATAATGCATCTTATACAATGGGAAAATATGTTATGTGAGAAACACTATCTTTGATCAAGTAGCCATGGTTCAGCCATGAATTTTTCAATTTTAAAATTGCTTTGTATTTTAAAATAAAAGCTATAACTACATCTTAACAGCACACTCCAGTTCTCTGTCCACCATGAAAAGAAAATTAGCTTGTTAGTTTTGATAGGTAGAGTAAAAAAGTAAGTAGAGCTGTAAAAATTGAAGAAAACAAAAATTACTTGAACTAGATCCTTAGTTCTGTAATTGAACTAAGCTCTAAAGACCAAGGTCCCTAGTTTAATAATATCTAAATGATTCTTATCCAAAAAGGAATGGTTTACTTCAGAGCAAAGTCACACATTATTTGATAAATTGAAAAATCTGTCATGCTGCTAAAAAGATACATGCATTCTTAAACATCACAAGACTTTAATTCTCAACAGCTTACTGTTTCTACCTGACACCATTCCTCATACTTTGGTAACTGAAAATAACATTTGAATCCCTAATTCTGCCAGTATCTCCAAGACACCATTTATCATTTTTTTGCATTTTCCTTTAGTATTTTAATCAAAATAGTGGGCATTACAATCAAGAGATATAGAATTCAATATTTCATGTGTCAGCCCATTCTGCATTCCTTGTAGTGTGCAGGGAAAATCATTCCTGCCCCTCAAAATTGGCTTCCAGCCACACCAGCATCATAGAAGATCTACTTGCATCAGTTTTTAAAACCAATGATTAAATGCCTAATGGACCTTGTCAAAAAAGATGCAATCCATGCCAGTTTTAAAAAGAAGTGTTCTTAAGTATTGTTCCCAGGGAGTAGCCAAGTCCTTCCCACTGTTCCAGTTAGATCTTTCTTAGGATCATGCCACAGGAGGCACCAAAATTTTCTGTTTAATGGACTTCCTAATGCAGAAATCAAGGAATGCAGAGTGGCTGTCAGCTGATAGAAAGCTGATAGTTAATTTAGGTGCATTGATGGCAAAAATGTCCTGTAATCTAAACCAAAAAATTGTACTTAGCAGGTTTTTAACGCTATTTATTCCAAAGGATACGATATGCTGTTTTCAAAGTAATTGATGTGACCAATCGTAGCCAACACACACTTGTCCACTGGTAGCAAGGGCTGTCCGTTGCTGGTAGATGTCCCCAAGAGGTACAATAGTAGCGCTCAATATTTCTAACATACTGAACACAAATTCCCGTGCATCAGTCGAGAAATAATCATAGACAATGCAAACCAAAAACCTTAGGGACGGGATGATGAACCCAAGGCCACCTAAATACATTCAGGAGCAGGTTCCAGGTGTAAATAATGAGCTGATCTCGATGAATATTTGGATCGGTGTTTGATAAGTCAAATTCCAGTGGACAGTCTGCGTTTAAAAAAGACAGAGCTACTTTTGAAACTCACCACAAATGCACAAATTCGGATGTTCAGTTTTGCTGTTGAAGAATCTTGGTCGTGAGCTGCAGTTCTTGATTCTTCGAAGGAAGCAGACGGCTGCCCTATGCTCTATACAAAACAAGTAGGTCACGCATGCGCCAAAAATGGGTGGGACGTGGGATCAACGAAAAAAATTATTTGGCTTGGCTCTGATTTTCATGCAATGGTGTATCTGATAGATGCGCTAGGCCGAATCAGTTATTGTAATTAAAATTGCTGCTACAACGGCACAGTATGATCGGCTTTTAAACTCTTTCTGACCTTCCGTGCAAGCCCCACCCCTTATTTGCTTACTTCCTTCTTCTGCACATGCGTCTCTAAGTCTATCTTCTGTTCAAATGCAAACACTCAAGAAATTAAAGCAGATCAGGAAGCAAAAGAAAATAAAATTTATAAACTATTGCTCAATCATTAGACTGAAGAAGCCACCAATAAAAAAAGAACGGTAGTCCAAATCTTTCGGTAGGTAGTTTCGTGTGGCCTGTCTGAATACGAAGACCTTTTTCCACAGGCCTAAGGGTCCCGCGTATCATGCTAGCATCGCTCCATCGCTGTCTGTTTGAGTCGCACTAGCAAGTACTCTATGCTGAGCGGTTTGAAGAGATTTGTGGATCAAATATGAAATTGGAAGGAAAATAAGGTGCCCGTTTCATCACTGCATGCGAAATCTGCCCCATTTCAAAAAAGCATCCGACTGCGGGCAATTTGTTTTTGTCTGTTATGTTACTGTTGTTGCTTTTATCTCAGTTTTTCACGTGAATAATGCCATCGGTGTTTGTTGTATTTGTCCTGATACGATGCTATGATTTTATTAAGTATTATCAAGCGAGTAATACAATGCAAGTTATAGATATAGAGTATACACTTTTAAGAAAATGGTGGAAGTTTTTATTTTTGTATGATCAAGATGTAAACGGTCAAATCAGGTCAAATCTGTCATAAGGATGCAATCTTAAGCCACATTCAAGCTGATCAAGAATTACAATGCTGTTAAAATAGATTTTTAGGGAAATGATGGGGATAATGTTTTTAGGGTTAGGGATAATATTCAAATGAATTCAATGGCAAGAATTAGGAGTGTTGGCGTGCTATTGGTGTTGTGTTGCTAAAGTTCCATGAGAACAAAAGTATTATGACGTTGAAAATGATGTTTTACTGTTCAGTCAGTATATTATGAGCTGAACTTTTGTAAAAATAAGACAAAAAATGTAAGTGGTTATAGGCAAAAAATATAAGCAAAGTAAGCTTTAAAATTAAAACCTGAACTTCAGGCTTGTAGCAAAGATTAGTTTTCATCAGATAGGTGTGCTCTGCAGCTTGTCCATATAATGAAAAACAGATTCATAGCTGTGCCTGTGAACCTCTAAGTAGCACATGCATCAATAACAAACATATGCTACTACACACTTTCTAACTTAATGTTTTCCTTTCAAATTGCAAGGGATTTAAAAAAATATGACAAAATGGGAGAACTATGATAACTTTTCTTAAAAGAAACTCTTATCTTAACTCTTAAATCATTATAAAATTTAAAAGATCTCCAGTACTGATATGCAATTGTCTCAAGTCTCTCAAGTTGGAAAATCGTCCACACTTGTCAAGATGAAATATCATCCTGTTTGTCAAGTCAGAAAATCATCCGAACTACCACAACAAACACATTTAACAATAGACAAACATTACAATTGCTGAAACCAGATTATTCTTTCTGGGATGCTAACCTTTATCTCGTCAGTCTGCCTATAATGATGCAAGGAAGGTAATTGAGGATTGAGGAAAAGAGAAAGCTGGGAAGAACATTTCTGTTTTTCCTATAAATCGATATCTGGTATCCATTGCTGTCAGACTTGCTAGTACCAACCCTGTTTAAAAACTCTTTCTGCTCATTCCAACCTCCTTTTTTCTGATTCAAACCCACCTGACAGCTAAAACATATTTCAGCTACGTGATTAAAAGCATTTATTGACATTGAGCATTCATTTCATAAATAAGGCCTTACTCCTCACCACCTTCCTCTCTTCTTTAATCTTAAACCCAAATCTTCACATCCTTTATCAGAGAATAGGGATAACTGGATTGCATATATCTTTTGAATGTGTAATCAGAGGTGATATTCTTCCTCATTTTCCTCTGCCCTGTTGCCTCAACCATTTCTTTCATATGCAGAGTATTTTTTCACTGAGCAACGCAAGCTTTTTACTGTCAGAAATTCATGTTTCTATTTTCTGCCAGCAAATCAAACAGCTATGTGGATGTCTTTCACCCATTCTTGCAAATGCTGAGCATTGTATTTTTCAATAAATTCTATAGGTCATGTTTTGCTTTTAGTTGCCTTTCTTTCATTTTTGTCCAATAACCAAGCCTTTCCAAGCCTTTGACTGGTTTCCTGTAACCAAGCCTTTCTAAGAGGCAAATGCATAATAACCTGATAGTTGAATACAATATTCTTAGTTATATGTCACCCTGTTTGGAAGGTGATCAAAGTGCATTTTTCTTGTCTTTACTACTTGCCAAATTGTAAGCTTTGGTGTCATATTTTCAGCTTCCGAAATGAATACTGCCCTGCAATTATATGATGGAAAGCTTTCACTGATAACAGTTCCCATTCCAAATATCAAGAATGGCAATGATGTGCTGGTAAAAGTTCGTTTTTGTGGTATTTGTGGCACTGATTTGAACATTATTAAAGGACAGTACCCAGCAGCAAAGAAGATTGTCATGGGCCATGAGTTTTCTGGCATTGTCACTGCCATTGGGAAAGATGTCAAGCACCTTAGTGTTGGTGACCGGTATGTGATTATTGATCAAATAGTGAAGTGTGATGAATGCCAAGGTGCTTCACTCCATAACATTTTGTGACAGTTTAGTTTGTTTTACTAAAGTAAACTGTGATGGTAAAATTAAATGAATCAGTGAATCAATTTTGTGGTTACCTTCTTGGTATTATCTAAATTTCTGCTATTTTCAAAATGAATTTTTTAACTAAATAAGTTACAAATCTAGGAAAAAGCAATGTACAAATCAAATTTGGTTCGAATAAATTCTTAAATGACTTCATAGGTAGAATGTTTGGCTTAGATATCATATGAACTTTTTGTTGCTGGTTAATTCTTTCTTTTTATTTTTTTCATTGTATCCTACATATAAGCTTTGAATCAAAGCAAATACCATTTGTGACATTGTTTTACTTTAAAAGTGATTAAACTAGGTCTTCAACTTTTTGCCTACTAGGTTTTCAAGGCTGCTACAGCCTTGTATTTTTGTCTCTCTCTCCAGTGTTTGTGTAAATCCAACAAGCTGGTGTGGAACCTGTCATTACTGCACTAGAGGAAACCCGCAATTTTGCACCAAGGAGGCAATGCACACAGCTCACGGGTTTCATAAAGATGGTGGTTTTCAGCAATACTGTCTACTTGCCTCACACCTCTGCTACAAGCTACCTGAAGATATGCCGTTAGAGCAAGCAATATTTTGTCAACCAATGTCAGAAATCTGCCGTGGATGGGACAATTTGGGAAACTGTGATTCAGATGCGAAGATCCTTGTTTGTGGTGCAGGTATTTTTTATTGTCTCTTTTTAGCTGTCAAGGGGAACGATTGGTGAAAGGCCAATAAGGAATGGGCGTTTTATCAATGCCTGAATATAATATGTTATTTATCATCTACATCCAGTTCTATTTGCTGCGACAGATCCGTATTCGTTTCTTAGCAATTTCTTCTTTTCTGATTCTTCCTGACATCTCAATCTCCATACATATTTCTTGTCAACGTTAAATTGACGTCCAACAGCATGGTATCCTTTTTCTTTTCCAAAAACAACAACTTTTCGTATGAAACTCGTCTTCTATATAATACAAGAAGAAATTTTGGTAAAACGTAAATAAGTATAGGTAGGCGATATAGCTTTTGAAAATTACAGCTTAGGGGTATGGTTCTACAAACATCTTAAGAGTTGTGTTTTTTCAATACCTACATATGCCTATATTTCCCTTTGAAAAGATGCACTACACATATAGGCTGCAACCCATATTAAGAGAGCACAAAATGAGAAAACAGCTGCCTGTCACTGATTTATACGGTATTTGGATTTTTGCCAAGTTTTTTGCAAGATTTCATGAACAAAAGTTTCTCAAAGGAGCTATCAGCACGATCGTGTGAATCTTATTTGTGAACATTCTTTTTAATAGTGAGTCGTTTTTACGTTACAGTACTAGCAGCTTATGAAACTAGAGCTGATGTAGGCTTTCTTCTGATTCGGGTTGGTTGTCACACATTTGTGAATTTTTATATGTCATTGTTTTACCTGTTAGGTTTGATTGGCTTACAGTGGGCCTCTCTTTTTCACTTCCATGGCTATCGAGACGTCACCATAACTGAAACAGCAGAAGCTAGGAGGGAAATGGCAGCAAACATGCACATCGGATACAGGTGCGTGAAGCCAAAAGTTGTTAGAGCAGAAGCTGACCTTGCAGAGAAGAACTGTGATGAAACGTGGGGTTTTGACGTTATAATTGACTGCACAGGAAACCCAAATGCCGTTGAATATGAATTAAGGTGGGTCAGAAAGGGGGCAACCATATTGTTATTTGGTGTTTGCCCCAAAGGCGCCATCGTCAACTTTGAACCCTTCCAAGTGTATGCCAAAGAGGTAAAAATTGTGCACTCGTATCTGAATAAGTTTACCTATCCGAAGACAATCAGGTTGGTGAGTGATATGGCCAAAAAGTACCTGGACTGGGGTGTGCTTGGAGTGAAAACATTTAGCATTCAAGACTACGAAGAAGCTTTCAGTTGTTTGGACAAAGGTGAAATCACCAAGGGCGTTTTTGAGTTCTAGCGCATTCCAGCTTGCCAACATGGATCGCTAAACACGACCTGAAATATTTCTTTTTCATTAATTGCGACAGTTTTACTGACAAAAGTAGACGAATTTTTGTGATTTCAAAATTGAACTTTTATGATTTTGTCCCAAGAAAAATTTCCTACTAATTTTTGTCAAATTAGGAATTGTATGGTGCGTTGAGTAAACAATAGTTTTCATTTGGTTGAATATTCCGAGAATAAAGGTGATGATTGTCAATTTATGTATCTATATAGCTTAAACAGCCCTGCATTGGTGAAGTTTCTTAGAGCTGTGTGCTTCTAGAACCCTGCCTATGACATCATATGTGACCAGCTCTCCCATCATCAATTATGCAAATCAGCTTGACGTTGCAGAATTAAGCTCAGTTGTCAGAGACGAATTAAGCTGATTAGGAATAAACAAAACAAATAGTAAATCAGAACTAATGGTAAATCTGCATCTTTCTGGGCAATAGGACAAAAATATACAGCACTAAATTTCAATCTTGTTATAGAGAACTTTTAATGACTTTTTTCCATCCTGACATTACGTGATTGGGGACGTATCAATAGCGCATGCTTGAACGAGGTAGGACACTCTTTTTACTCGAGCAGTTTCCAGAGTCTTTTTATCACTGCAAATTCAGTTTGAAATAAAACCTGAGCTTTCTCAAATTTACACTGGAGACCGTTTGGAAGTTCACGGGGACATCCTTTGCGAAACGAATGTGAAAATTGAGGAAATAATATCTGCAAAAATTTTAAAAAACTGACATTAAAAACAAGGTTTGGTTCAAAGGAAATGACAATGAAGAATGACAAGGTATCGTGTTCAAATGTTCATAGATAGCAGTACAAAATCTGTCTCGTCGTTTTCTTGCTCTTAAGATTTTTATTTTCATGGAACCAAGAGATCCTTGTCAGTCTTGCAGGATCGGTCAACCTTGACTCAAGCTAGGAGCCTTAACACTCATCTAGTCAAACTGGCATTATAGATCAGTTCGAGTTACATATCGGTTTGATATGAATTCTAAGAAACTTTCAACGTTTTCTTCTTTATACTCAGCCCAAACCGCATGCATTGTTCTGTGATTTCGAAGGGATCTTTGTATTGACACAAGAAAGAGATTCCCTTATGCCTTCGCTCCCCCTCCAAAACACAGGCTTTTATGACCATTCAAGCCTGCTGTAAAAATTATTCGAAACTTTGCCGGCACAGACGCTTTTCAGCTGCTCGCGCTTAATAAATCTGCGTATGATGTGGGTATTGCGTGTTTTACTCGATAGAGATTAAAGAACAAATCTTCTTCGAAGCTGGTATGAGCGGGTGATACATTGTGTTTCCTTTTGACCTTAGCATGTTGAAAATTAAATCCTCGTTTACTGCTTGTTTCAATTCAGTGCAGTCGTTACACTATCTACGGAGCTTCATCTTGATAAATGTATACCTTTTATATGGAATGGTTATGATAACGGACAAATTCCAAGACGGTGGCTCATCGAAGATTAGACTTCTAAGCAGCTTAGACCGGTTGGTAAAGACGAGTTGCTAATGCAGATTTTGTGAAGAAAACTGTATATCAAATGCTGATTTTCCGAAATATTTAGTGTCTTAACCATGAAGTCTTCGTTTTATTCTAATTTTGACTTAAATACTTTTATCTTGGACTTTGCCGTTAGTATTATCATTTTCGCCAATGCCTTGGCAGATATAGAAAACAGAAAAGAAGAAAAGGATTCATGCGGTAGTTATATTATTATTCCGGATAGCTTTTTGCTGTTGGATAAATCAAGCAGCCTGACTGATCCATCAATGCTAGAGAGTTCAACGGAGATCAAGAATCGTAAGTCGCTGTTGAAGCAATATGTGCTATACTCTGCTGGACTTGTTCTATATTTTGTCCTGATGGTGCTCTTCGGCATAGCCGGCAATCACGTTGCAGGAGCAGTTCTGTTGGTTCAACATTTGTCTATCAGTATTGTCATATTTATTGCGATGCGGAAATGGATAAAATCGAGATTGTTTTCGGTGTTGTTCGCGTTAGCCCTCTGTGTTATCTGGCTTAAAAGCTTAAATACAAGCTACAGATGGATAGTTAATAATACAATAGTTCTACTGGTTGCAGCAATGACTCGTTACGTTAAGTTCAGGAACTTTATTTCATTGCAAATATTCATGTGGCTTGCTTTTTTCTACGATGTTTTTGCTTTGAGTAAGTTACCCTCAGCCATTACATCACGCTTTTTCTCACTGGTGACACCTTGTAAGACCCTGCTTTGTGACATTTCACTTCACAACATCAGGTATGACTTACCAACAGTGTTCTCTGTTCAATTCGGTCCATCAACAAAACATGTTTATCTTGGAGCTGGGGACATCATCATCGGTGCTTTTCTCGCTAATTTTACGGCTGCGTTTTTCCACTCGAGAAAGCATCTTGCCTTTAACGTGTGCCTGTACGCTCTGGCAATCCTCGTTCTGATGAGCGTAACATCTTCCCAGTCGCCAGCTTTATTGACCATTGTCCCTTTCGGGACCATTGGGATATTTGCCAGCGCATTTTTGACACGAAACATCAAACGACTCTTTAATGTAGGCTAATGTCACATTCCGGTCCAAAAGACAAAATTATTTAAAATACCAATTTTATAATTAGTTCTTCTTCTGTAAGTTCAACCGTATTTTTGTACATTGTATGAATGGGAAATTTTGCCTATCTTAGTTTAGCAATTGTCAACAATCAAGTAAACTGTAAAGAATCTGTAAGTTCTTGCATATTTAGTAAACAAAACAGCAATCAAAATTCTTTCAAACCATATAGCTTACACTTGTTTCCATTCGCAGTTCTCTCTTGGCTTGCTTGATAAGCTAGTAAGTTTGCCGCTACCTTTTGGGAACTATTTGGTATTTGCACAGCATGTTCAAATACCAAAGTCCTGAAGAGGTTGCATGGAAGAAAAACTGTTGCATAGTGTTTCAGGTTGTTTAGGTAAAACTTTCTTGGGACAGGGCATTTGTTAAGCTTTTTCGTTTTTTGAAATCGAAATTACTGCACTTTTATTGATTGGCAATCATCGTAAATAAGTATAAAACATCCTGACATTTTGAAATGTTTCATTATTAGAAGCCTCAAGAAATCCAAAACACTTAAAACTCTATTGAAAGGCATTTTACGTAACTTTATCTGAATGATTACGATGGGATTTCATTGGATTCAAGTCAATTTCGTAAGTGGTTTCGACATCATCGGCAGGGTGATGTGAGTATGCTTTTAAAACTATTATTTTTTGCAATAGTTTTATGTGAACAAACTGGATTTTGAGAAGAATAAGCAAGATGGAGAAACAGGTCGAATAAAAGATCAATGACTTGGACAATGAATTTGATAATTAACAAATCATCATTACTACATCTTAGTTCTCCAAATTTTAGGTTGTGATCTTTGCTGCAATTAAAATTAAAGTATCAAATCTTTGAAAAAAAAATGGTTATGTAAAGTCCCTTAGAGTAGAGAAATCAAATAGTTGACTCTCACAAAATAAGCTTTCTTATAGCTAGCTAGCCAATGTCGCTCTTTCTAAAGGAGATATGATATTGGCGGCTTTAAAGCAAGGTACTGAACAAACATGGAAACATATTTGGTAGAAAATCAAGTTCATAGAGGCGTGAAATGTTTTTCTTAGATACTGTGGAAACAAGATGCTAAAACTTTTGTAATTAGCCTGATTTCAGCTGCGACGCGAATTTTATTTTAGAATCTTGTGTGTTGATTGGCCAATACCTTGGGAGAAAATAGAAATGGTGAGATCGTTCAGCCATTCGTGATTTTATTGCTATGATGACATTCTACGTGTGATAAAACGTTGAGGGAGAGACAAATTGGCAGCTACGCCTATTCAAACAAAAATTATTACCACAATTCTAGATCCTGAACATTTGTGCAACTAGAAATGAATTCATTGGACTACATAAACCTGTCTCATCCAGAGTCTGACTGGGTATGTATGTGGTGAGAATCATTTGAGGAAATCCCAATTTCAACTAATAGCGTAGTGAGGGGGAGGCAAGAAGGGGTGTACGCCCCCAACGGTAAAGGCTGTTTTCTGGATTTCCTTTGCCCTCCCCTTTCCAATCTTACCATCCGCGCTACGCTACTGATTAATTTCTGGACATGTTTATGTTATTCTGGACATGCAAAAGTGGATGAGCTGAGAAGTGTGTGACCAAAAAATTTTTAAGGCCACACCCTTTAGAACGCTGGATAATGCACCTTTTAGGAAATACTTGGTTTTTCCACTTATTATTTTTAAACGGTCTGATTCAAAGAAGATAACGATTACAATTAGAATAGTTTAACATGATAAGACGCAAAGAAAATGAACAAAAAATGGTTCCCGGTCAAGAAATGCTACCACTGAGGATCCGTTAGAGCAACTTTTTAAAGTAAATTTCTAGAGTAAACTTTTTAAAGAATTTCTAACTTATTATTGCAAAAAGTGGGGGGGGGGTGGATAAAGCCCCTGCTGGCCCAATGGCTGCGCGGTGCCTGTGTATTCTGGACGTCTTTTCGTTGATGATTGAGAGTGATCAAATGCATAAAAATGTTTATATTTCTCAAAATTTGCATGGTAAAATGCTACACCACTGACTATAATCAGAAAGGTTTTTGTAGAATATTCTTGTGTGATTATTTTCAACCAACAACATTTGGGCCTTAAACTTTTGACGCAGGCAAAGGTGTTCGGACAAATACAACATACTGTTGTTTGTTTAACAGGAAAGGCTTATTTTACCGCGCAATATTTCTCGAATTTCTTACAGATTGACGCTGGTGAGTGAGCATACTCTAGGTATAGCTCTAGCTGGAGGAATTTCTCCATTCATGCTAAGTCAGGTCTCAGAATGATGAATTTGACTGAAATCATACAGCCCAGTACCCTGGGTTCCAAAGCGTCAAATGGGGTATAGAGAAATCATGGGCTCCGACGCATGTTGGAAAGTGGGAGGGCTAAGGGAAGATTTGACAGACATAACAAAGGGTTTTTAAAAAAAGCTCCATTGTTTTCCAAAACTGTTAGGGTGGCCATAGCCCCCCACCCGCCCCTCCGCTCCTCCTTCATCGGAGGCCCTGGAAATAAGGGCGTTTTGGAAGAGTGCGGCGGTAGAGAGAAGAGAGAAGAGAGAAGAGAGAAGGGAAAAGAGAGAAGAGAGAAGGGAAAAGAGAGAAGAGAGAAGAGAGAAGAGAGAAGAGAGAAGAGAGAAGAGAGA